TGTAGTTACTGTTTGTTTGCTTGCTTGTTTTGTGACAGAGTCTGACTATGTAGTTCATGCTGGCCATGAACTCATTATGTAGCCCAAACTTTTGTTGATTTTCCTACCTCAGCCACCTTAAGTGATGGAATTACAAGCATGTGCCACTGTGTCCAGCGTCCTGTTTTAGTTTCTTTAATGCTTATTGATACATTCAGGTTTTCTGATTCTTTTGGAATCTGTTTTGGTAAATTTTATATTGGTTTTGGAAATTAACTTTTCTCTTTTCATTTCAAATTTGTGTTATAAAGTTCTTCTATTTTAATACCCCAGTCTTCGTCATGATAGATAGCTCCCTTTGTTCATTCCTAATATGCATTTTCTTCATTAACCCTTGATCAGGGTTGCTGGTATTGAATGAACTTATGTTTTGTAGTTCAGTCAAAGAAAACCAATTTTAGCCTTCTTGATCATCTCCACTTGGCTTTAATTTCACTAATTTGTTTTTAACATTAAAAAATTTCTTTCCTCCTATTTTCAGGTTTCAGGTATTCTTCTTTTGCCAACTTCTAAATGTGGATGCTTGCCTTATCAATTTTCAGTCTTTTCTTCTTTCTTTTTTTCCTAATGTTAGAATACTCTACTCTTAGTTGATTCCATAGGGAGTGACATTTTCATTATAAATTTTGTTTTTAAACATCCATTTATGATTTTTTAAATTTAAAATAACAGCTTTATTGTACTAAAATTTGTATATGACACACTTTACAGATTTAAAATGTAAAATTCAGTAGATTTTAGCACATGACCACAAGCAAATTTAGATCATTTTTGCTATCTCAAAACAAAATACTCCACCCACTAGCTATCATCTCCCAGTCTCTCCCTCCTAAATCTAGGCAACCACTGAGCTACTTTTTTTTTTTGTACCACGGGTGGAACTCGGGTCCTTGTGCTTGCAAGGTAGAGGGAGGAACCACTGAGCTAAATCCCCAGCCCTGAGCTACTCCTATATTCACAGATTTTTTTATTCTTGGAACTTATTTTTCTTTTTAATTCGCAATAGACCATGCTCACAGTAAACAGCTTAATATATCCAAAGAAATGAAAATCCTACAAAGTGACCTTTCACACCATGCTGGAGAAAAACTAGAAACCTAGATCAGAAACATACCTAGAATACAATTAACTTTTTCTCCCTCTTTTTTCCTATTAACTTTTTTGTATAAGGAAAACCATGTGATGTTCAAGCTTGCATGTTTGATTTACTTCACTTAATATTATGGTTTCAAGATGCATCTATTGTCTTACAAATGCTTCAAGTTTATTTTTCTTTACTGCAGAATAGTAGTCCATTGTGTATAAATACCATATTTATACATTCATTTGTTGATGGGCATATAGGTTTCTAAAATTTAGCTATTGTAAATTGTTCTGCTATAAACATAGGTATACATATATGACGATGGTATGATGTTTTAAACTCTTTTGGGAAGATACCCAAAAGGGGAATAACTAGGTCAAACAAAATTTATATTTTTTAATTTTTTGAAGAATCTCCATACTGATTTCCACAGTGGTTATATCAGTTTACATTCCCACAAACATTGGAGAAAGATTCTTTTTTCCCCACAGCCTTGTTAGGCATCCATTTGCCTACAGATTCCTCAAGTTTATCTTTCTTTATGGAAAAGTAGTAATTCATTCTGTAAAATACCACATCTTTCTTATCAGTCGTCTGTTGATGGACATATACACTGTTTCCAAGATCTAACTATTACAAATTGTGGGGCTATAAACATGGGTATGCATATATCCTTGTAATATGATAATTTTCTCTTTGGGGCAGAACTGGAAGGAGCATAAACTAGAGTTTCTTTTCCCTCACATCCTCACCAGCATTCATTATTGTTTTTTTTTTTTTTGATAACAGCCATTCTTTGTGGGGTAAGTTGGTACTCAATATAGTGTTTTTGTTTTTTTGTTTTTGTTTGTTTGTTTGAGACAGGGTCTCACTATGTAGTTGAGACTGACCTGAAACTCACTATATAGCCCAGGCTGGTCTGGAACTCACAGCAATCCTCCTGCCTCAGCCTCCTGAGTGCTGGGATGGGATTACAGACATGTGCCACATCGCCCGTCTTTCAATGTAGTTTTAATGGCCAGTGATTTGAGCATTCAATCATGTTTTTATTGGCTATTTGTACTCCTTCCGTGAAGTGTCTATTCATTTTCTTGCCCATTTTTTGATTGGGTCTTTTATTTTGAGGAGTCTAAATTTTTTTGAGTTCTTTATATATTCTAGATATTAGTCTTCTGTCTAAGGAATAGCTGGTAAATTTTTTTCCTATTCTGTAGGTTGTCTCTTGACTTTGTTGGCAGTTCCCTTTGCTATGCAAAAGCTTTTTAATTTAATGTGATCCCATTTGTAGATTCTTGATATTATTTCTTGCATAACAGGTTTGGGTTTTTTTGGGTTTTTTCTTTTCTTTTTCTCCCTCTTTAGTTTAAGCTAGCCTTCAACTGACTATGTAGCTCAGACTAGGCTTGAACTCATGGTAATCCTTCTGCCCCAATTACCCAAGAGCTTGGATTATAGGTGTGCATCAAACATGACAGGCACAGCAAGGGTTTTATTCAGAAAATCTTTGCCTACACCTATGTCTTCAAGAAATATCATTGATTTAAGATATTTTGGGGCCATATTTTTAAATGTACAAGTTTTTCTAGAAATTTCAATTATCTTTTTACATGAATAACTAAGATAAACATACATATTTTAAAGAGGTTGTTCCTCCATGCAGCTGGAGGAAGACTCCTGTATTGGTGTCTAAGCAAGAGCCTCCTTGAGCTATGAAGGAGGTCATCCCTGAGTGGGTGGTAACTTCAGCCAAGGGGATAGAGGAGTCACAGATGATTTATTCTCCCCTCCCCTGTGGATTTTTGGGAGACACAGTGTTTTCAAAAGCTCCCCCAGAAAACATGCTGTAGTGTTTTCAAAAGCTCCCCCAGAAAACATGCTCTTATATTTGCTTTCATAACATCTCAGTCCAGTTCCTTTTCTCCTTCATTCCTACTTCCATGGGACTGCAACCCAATAAAAGTGCTATCACAAGTTTTTTCTCCAGGATGTTAATGTGGCTAAACAAATGTTGGATTCATCTGAATCTTCATGAATGACTGTGTTCTTGCAAAGGAATAGAAGTTTACATCTATCCTCTCGAAGGTCCTCCACCCCCACCTGAGAAATTTACAGAGCAACAGGAGGAAAGAATATAGATTTGTTTAATACAAATTTTATGTGGTGTAGAAATGAAGGAAATAAACTATCATGAAGTCACAAGGTTGAACACTTACAGACTAGGAAATTGTGAAAATGTAACAATGAAAAGGTGGATTAGGGTAGTAGGATAGTTGATTGATGGAGAAGTGTCTGAAAATGTTTGTTTGTACAGATTTCCCTGGGCCTCAACTTCCTGTCCTTGATAAGAATAACTTTATTTTTAGTATACAGACAGAATCTTTCACATGGGAGTTTCATCTTTTGCTTTTATGAAACAAATTGAAGATCAGAGTGATCTTGCACCTGACGTTTTTCAAGTGCTTTTAATGAGAAATTGTCAATATGCCAGAACATCATATGTTAGGAATGCATATTCTTAGCTTCTTCACTATAAATGAATTTTGTTTCTACAAACTGGTGTTTGCATAGAAAAAAATTTTTAAGCATTTCAGAAAAGAAATTAGTATAAATGAAGTATCTATTAAACCAAGAGAGGGCCAATAGACCTAATAAAAATCTACAGAAAAAACTTTCTAGGGGCTTGAAATATGGAAAGGGAGAAAATTGAATCAACCCACAAGGCAAAATAACTAGAAAGAAACTACTTGCATGGGCCAGGGGTTTAGCTCTGTGAAACCATGCCAAAAAACAAAACAAAACAAAACAAAAAAAACACATCTTGTTAAAGAAATGTTAATTTAAACTTATTGGTCTTGAATTTTCTTTTAGAGAAATTATAAGCTTTAGGAATTTAAACGTGTGGATTCGGATACATTTTAGAACATTATAATAAAAAAAAGTCAGGACTTGTGAATTGGCCTTGGTTTTCTTTTTGTTGTTTTCTAAAAATGTTTTTCCAACCTCCACCCCTCCTCCAATATTTCTGTTTGCTCTGCTTTCTAGGATCTCTCTCCAAATCCCCGTGAGCTGCTTTAGTAGGCGCTCTGGGAAATCCATTTTAAAGGACCTCTGGGTTCAATCCCCAATTGTCACAAGAACAGAGGAGATGGAGAACGTGTTCTGACTTTAGTTTTCACCTATAATTCTATTTACTGAGCCCCATGCTCAGTGGCTTTGGAGGCTCTAAATCTTCAGCTCTCAAACTTTTATTTCAAAAACCTTCAAACGGGCGCTGCCTACCGATTCCTCTCCCTCCGCGCCACTCCTCTGTCTGTGCCTCCTTTCTTTAGAGATGTTTCCCAACCTTGGCCGATCCTAGACATTGTTAAAAATATGCCCTTCTAGCTGTTGTTATTGTTGTTTCCTGGAAATTCTGATCTCTAGAGATAGGGCCCAAATATCTGCATTTTAAATTCCCCAGGAAAAGTCTTACTGGCAGGCAAGTTTGAGAAACTTGACTCCAGGGTTTCCTCTGTCCCAACGCTTCTTTCCTGAGGGCACTTCGGCGGGACGAGTCCGGTCTGTAACTCCGGTTTAGTGAGTTTCGCCCTCCGAGCAGCGGGAGGTTGCCAGGCGACCAGACGCTGCTCAGAGTTCGCCAAAGAGTTCTCGCGGGAAATCTCGCGGTGTCGCAGGCAGCTCCCTTCCTCCCTGGCCTGGCGCTGATCCAGTTCTCTGTGACTAGGGAGCTAAACCGATACATTCCGCGAGGCATTGGTTATCTCATGGCTTTAGTGGACCAGCAATAGACATTTTGGGGGAGGGGGAAGACCACCATTTTCCTCCTTCCTGCCATCGGTCTTGACTGTGAGCGCCCAGTAACCAGTTTGTTCCCAGTAACAGACCAAAGAATGATGTGAATCAAGGTACAGAACGGATTCCAAACTTCCCTCAGACAAAACCCAGACTCAGGGTGACATTCAAGACCATCGTGACCCTTGTCACTGCCTCTCATCCCCTACATTTCAGGATTCTCCAGTATGCCCTGATCTAAAAAGATTTTCTTTGCCTGAAATACCTTTCAGGGTAGCAGCCATAGCACACACTTGCTTATCATTTTTATCCTTTTCCTTTTTCAGAATACTTGGGTTGGAATAAGCACATTTTTCCCCTGAAGCCTTCCTGCATACTCTTACCTTGTTATGCCCCATTTTTCACCCTCATCCCGGGATGTATTAAGTTAGTAACAGTAGCACTTTAACACAACTGTTTGCTTGTTACTTAACCCCTTATCTTCAATATGATGATAAATTTGTTGAGGACAAGGATTATGATTTTTACTTTTCTATTCCTAGAAACTAGGAAATGCCTTGTACATTAGAAGTCATTTTATAAATGTTCCTAAAATGAATAATATAACTGAAAGAAAAGAACAATCATATAAGGAACAAATATTTACAGTGGAAAGTGAGGGGCTCATTGGAGATAGCGTGAAGCAAGCAGTCAGTATGTAAAGGGTAGTCCAGCTGAAAAATGGCGAAGCATCAGTTGTGACCCTGGTGGGTAAAAGGTCGTCATTGAGCAAAGAAGGTCAGCAGAGACAGAGGTGCAAGGCAACCTTAGAGGCCACTAGAGTGTTCTAACTGCCATCTTGCAGAAAAGGAAACTCCCAGACCAGAAAGAGGAATCTAGGTCACCCTCAGGTGCCAGAGAAGGAATTTAACCTTGGGCTCCTGATTTCAAGGTCAGCCCTCCTTTCCGTATATCTCATTGACCATTATGATAAGAGTAGCATAAGAAGGGGAAGGGTAGAAGAGCAGAGGGATCCTAAGTTAATTCAAGATTTTATTGATAAAATTAATTTGCAAGGCAATCTTAGCCAACCTGGAGGAAGACAAAGAAAGTAGAAATGAATGAACAAATTTAGGAGGTACCTTGAAGTATAATTTAATCTATGAGACATTGATTAGGATAAAGGAAGGAAGAAGATAATTCTCACATTAGATAGAATAAAATAATAATACTGAAGAAAGAGGAGAGGTGAAATAAATTTTAGGTATAGATGAGCTTGATGTGTGTGTGTGCGTGTGTGTGTGTGTATCTATCTTAAATGTAAAATGGCACCTTTTATTTTTTCATTATTTATTTTATAAAAAATTTTCATAAAATTAAAATAACAAGTTGTTATCTTCAAAATATTGTATTGTTATCTTCAAAGTAGTTATTCCAAGACATTGACAAAAAAGCTTCTGTCTTACAAAGAACAGATACTAGCACAAAACTTTCTTTTCAATGAGCTAAAAGAAACTAGTAGTATAAACAAATTAGCATATATATGAAAATATATTTTAAACAGTAGAATAGGAAATTTGGGGAACCATCTACATCTCTCTCCACTTCCTATTTATCTAGCTTCTATTTTGCTCATTTGCATAAATGTACTTTAAGTTTCTCCTATAAAAGAAACCATGCTATATTTAAGTTCATGTCTGAATTATTTCACTGAACATTACATTCTCAAGTTGCATCCAGATTTGCCTACAGATTCCTCAAGTTTATCTTTCTTTATGGCAAAGTAGTAATTCATTCTGTAAAATACATTTTTCTTATTAGTCATCTGTTGATGGACATATACACTGTTTCCAAGATCTAACTATTACAAATTGTGGGGCTATAAACATGGGTATGCATTTATCCTTGTAATATGATAATTTTAACTCTTTGGGGTAGACCTGGAGGGAACATAAACTAGAGCTTTTTTTTTTTTTCCTCACATCCTCACCAGCATTATTAGGTTTTTTTGATGAGAGCCATTTTTTGTGGGGTAAGTTGGTACTAAATGTAGTTTTTTGTTTTTGTTTGTTTGTTTGAGACAGGGTCTCACTATGTAGTTGAGACTGACCTGGAACTCACTATGTAGCCCAGGCTGGTCTCAAACTCACAGCGATCCTCCTGCCTCCGCCTCCTGAGTGCTGGGATTATAGGCGTGTGTCACATCACCAGGCTTTCAATGTAGTTTTAATGGCCAGTGATTTGAGCATTCAATCATGTTTTTATTGGCTATTTGTACTCCTTCCATGAAGTGTCTATTCATTTTCTTGCCCATTTTTTGATTGAGTCTTCTATTTTGAGGAATCTAATTTTTTTTTTGAGTTCTTTATGTAAGGTATTAGTCTTCTGTCTGAGGAATAGCTGGCAAAAGTTTTTTTTCCATTCTGTAGGTTGTCTCTTCACTCTGTTGGTTGTTTCATTTGCTGTGCGGAAGTTTTTAAATTTGATATGATCTCATTAGTTGACTTTTGATATTATTTCTTACACAATTGGAGTTCTATTCAGAAAGTCCTTGCCTATGCCTATGTCTTCAAGAGTTGTACCTATTTTTTCTGCCAGCAGATTAAGTATTTCTGTTTTAACATTTAGATCTTTGAACCATTTTCATTTTAACTTACTACATGGTGAAGTATATGGGTCTAGACCCAATCTTCTGCATGTGGATATCCAATTTTCTCAGAACCATTTATTAAAGAGGCTCTTTCCTTCATGGCATGTTTTTTACTCCTTTGTCAGAGATCAAATAACTGTATGTACCTGGGCTTGTTTCTACTTCTATTCCACAGATCCATGTGCCTGTTCTCATGCCAGTAGCATGCTCTTTTAATCTCCAAAGCTTTAAGTACAACTTCAATTCTGGGATTGTGATGACATCTGCTTTGGTTTTGTGACCTAGGATTGCTTTTGGATCTTTTCTTGTTCTGTATGAATTTTAGGATTGTTTTGTCTAGATCTGTGAGAAATGTCATTGATATTTTGATTGGAATTGCATTAAACTTGTATATCAGTTTTGGAGTTACAGCCGTTTTGATTATATTGGTTCTGCCTATCCAGAACTAGGAAACATTTTTCCATTTTCTGATGACCTCCTCAATTTCCCTTTTCAGAGTGATGTGATTTTCATTTTAGAGATCTTTCACTTCCTTGGATAATTCTTGAGTATTGAATTCTTTGATGCTATGGTGAATGGTATTGTCTTCCTAATTTCTTTTTCACTGAGTTTATTATTAGTATATAGGAATACTGATTAGTGTATAGGAATATTGATTTCTGTGTGTTTCTATGGTATCCTGCAACATTGCTGGATTTGGCTATTAATTCTGGGAGTCTTGGTGATGTAACAGTTTCCTGTATAAAACTCTATTGAAACTATGAGGAGGTAAAGGTGGTAAGGGAGAAAGTTAAGAAAGAGAAATATTTCTATTTTGTCAGTTTCCTTCTGGTTCCTGGGGAATCTCTTCTCATTTTGATTCCTCTCCAAGTTTTTAGACTTTGGGTGCCAGGTCCTGGAGACACAGTTGCTGGCACTCACTGCCCACATGTACCCACTCCCCAAAATTATTGTAAATTGCATGTACTGCAAACATGTACTAATGAAAAAGAAGAAAGAGACATGGTGGGTCAACAGCTATACCAAATAGTTTGGATGGAAGAGGGAAGAACAGTAGGTAAAGATGACAGGGAAAGATTGATCAGGGCTGAGATTATTTTGAGTACAAATAATAATTCAGCAATTTGACATCTGATAGTTCAGATATAGACACTGGAGAAAGAGTTGGGGGTGGGGGCTACATAACAGGATAAAAAGCTGCATAAGGATAAAAAGTAAAAGAATGATTAAAATAATATGGTTAAAATGCAAGGGCATAAATTAAAAGCACGATTTGTCTGTTTTGAAGGTCATTGGGGACATCAGCTTTAACAGTACATGCAGGCTCCTTGCTCTGTGTAACACTCTGTTCATCTAGTGCTAACATCACCTTGATAGAAAATTTGATAAGGAATGCATCATTGAAAATTAGTTGGTCTGGAAATCTTTGTTTTGGAACAGTTTCATGTATCATAAAAAGGAATATGGTGTCATCTGTGGTAAAGTTATATTGTTTTATTTATTTTTTTGAGATGATGTGACACTTATTCCTCAGGATGGTCTCAAATTCATGGCTCAAATTATCTGCCTATGGTAAAGTTATTTGTAGTTTTGTTTATTTATACCAGAATTTTGGGACTATAGATGTGCTCCAGAATGCCCAACGGTATACCCTTTTAAATGTCTAAAAGGATATATACATATACATCAAATTATTTAATCATAGTTATTTCTTGGTGGTGGTATTTTGAATATTTTTCCCCTTTTTTTATTAATCAAGTTTTAAAAAATGATCAAGTTACATTTTCAAGTTCATTTTGGATTTTGCTGTTCATGGAGTTGAAAACCACTTGTGACTGTTATTAAAAGTGGTTTGAATAACTAATTACTCAACTAATTTTTTAATGCAACCAGTTAAGTTTAAGAAAAGATATTCTCTCATTAATATGTGAAATATAGTTTTGGTCTAGTGGCACCCAATGTTAAACATCCATCTGTATATTTTGCAACAAGGTAGAAATTTGGCAGACCACAAGAAAAACATGTCTTCAATACCATGTTTGTTAAGTTCACCTTAAAATACTTTCAAGATTTACACGCTGACAGATGTTGGGGAAATTTATATTTGAAAAAAACTGTTGTGACATCTTG